GAGTTTGTGCCTTAAAAGACACAGTTTACGGAAAGCCGATGACGAAACATCGACAATGTGTGCATTCCAAGACAACTTATTCGTTATCGTTATACCTAGGTATTTGTATTGACTGACTTCTTTTAAGGGTTGGCTTTTGGAGGAATAGGAAAACTGAAGGGGATTTTTCTTGTTAGTAATTCGAAGGCAAACAGATTTATCGAAATTGAGCACCATGCCCCATTTGTTACACCACGAAAGAATATTGTTAAGGGCGGTGTCGAGAGCAACCTGGTCATCTGGCGATTGTACATCTGTGAAAATAATGCAGTCGTCTGCAAAAAGTCTTCTTTTAACCGGATCAGTAATAGCATTAACAATATCATTGCAATAAATTATAAACAGCAGCGGACCTAGAACACTACCCTGCGGTACGCCGGAATCTACTGGGAGATGAGGTGATGTCTGTCCACAGACGTCGACATACTGTTTCCGGCCGTTCAGGTAAGCAGACACCCAGGATACTAGGTAGTTTGGAAGCCCTATAGTCTGAAATTTCTCGATGAGCTTGTTATGGGGAACACGGTCGAATGCTTTACTGAAATCTAAAAACAGTACATCGACCTGACCAGCTTTGTCTAAAATAGAAGCAATGTGATGAATAACTGAGACCAACTGGGTGACTGTGGAAAACCGTTTTCTAAATCCATGCTGAAAGGGAGATAAAATGTGGTTATCATCTAAGAAGCTGTTTATACGAGTGGCAATTATATGTTCTAGCATTTTGCAACATGCGGAAGTCATAGAAATGGGACGGTAGTCCCATTTCTATGACTTCCGCATGTTGCAAAATTCGTTTCAAACGCATGGTATTGAGGTGGTGGCAAGTCACGTTCAATTCAAGGAGGTGGGGTCCCGAATCGCCAGGGGCGAGGATAAGCGCGCGCGCGCTCGCATCTGTTGCCGACAGCTGCTGACGTAGAAGCGTGACATGGTGGGAGCTCTGTTTGCTAAGAACGCGCGTGCCCGAAGCTGTTGCTATAGAAGAGGGCTGTTGATGGATTTCGATGGACGCCTGACATAGCCCGACTAAGAAATACATTTCACTTTAAATTAGAATGTCACGAATGGCTAAATAGCTACCGTTCACCTTCAAAAGAAGCGTCCATTGAGAGCCATTTGAGGTTTATATAAAGCACCAAGCAATACTTTATTTCGTAACATAATGTTATTGCTGTGTGCAATAAAAAAATGGAAAAGCCCTTCGTAGTAGTGACCAAATGTTTTTCTGAGAAAAACAGAGTATGCAAGCACGAACACAAGAAAGTCGGGTCACCACAAACGCCTAAAAAGTGAAGAAGCGCCCAACGGCGGTAAAGAAAACAGGCACGACAACATATTCGAACAAGCCTATGCATTATGCCAACCTATCAATCTGGGACGCATGGTGGTGTACGTGAAAGATAACGGTTAGGACTGTCTAGCACAGTGTTTTCTCACACTATACACTATGCACAGTGCGATAATTCACTCGCACGGTGCTCTCTGTCAGCAATCGCAATAGTGCCGCCATCTGTGCGCGATTGTGACAAGTAATGTAGGATGACACTTACTAGCGTCGACGGCGCAGTTAAAGCATGATGTCAGAGAATGCGCACTGGTTTGCACTCTCGGTTGTTATGCTTAACAGGCACATTGTGCAACTCGGCAGCTGCACAACCATGCAGTGTACGTAAGTGAAAGTGTACACAATCTGCTTTATTTTTCTTTGTCTCAGTGCACTAGTAGTGCAGATAGCCCTGTACCACAATGTGCCAATGATACTGCTACCTGCTGTACTGCTTCAATACTTCGCAATGAGCACGCCAAGCAAGCTCACATCGTAAAGCGACCGAATGCTCGCGGCCTTGAAATGAAAGCAAGGTGACTTTTGACCATTCATAAGCCACTTACATATTTCTGACATCTTGTCGCTTCCTGTGATGAGTATTAACCGAAAGGGTTACCCTATGCTTTGCGGTAAAGTGGCAACAAAGGAACGCAGAGATAGTCTGAAAGCCAAATTGAAAAATTATTTTTTTTCTTAAAACAAAAATAAAATGATTAGACTTTCTACATTACTTAAATATAAAGTGATCGATCGAACGCTGCATCGCGAGATTATTTCTTTGGATCGTATCAGTACAAAAAAAATGCGGTCAAATATCGGACAAATCACACATTTCTCTCTTTTTTAAATAATTATTCTGAAAATATTCAGCCTATTTAACCCCTAAATATTATTGTATATTAGTAAGCTGTCCTAAAAATCTGAATAATATTAAGATTGCTAAGAGAGAGTTCCAGCAAACATAGAAAAAAATAGAACTTTCAAGATTTTGTGAATTTAGAAAAGGTCCACCTGCTAGGTAAACGCAAAAATTTCTTAATGCTATAGTAGCACAGCTAACCAGAACCTCTTTAGTAGGTCAAGCTTTTTTTCGACATTATGCAAAGTAATATAGGTTTTGTATATATTTGCCCATTATGCACACTTCGGCAAACGCAAGGGAACTCCGAGGGGGTGCCAGGGTCTTGCAAAAATTTTACGAGCAAGAATGTTTGGTCGCAATACTCCATGGGGTATACGGAAAGGGTGGAAATTTTATCGACAGAATCTGTGACGGTCGAGTGCCACGTGTGAGACACTTGGAATAGAATGACCCATATATATTAGCGTGACAAAAACGGGGACGAGAAAGAAGGACAAACTACAGCACTGAGTCGCAACTAAACTTTATTTCAGATAGAAGCGGAATAAATAACATCTGACAAAGCAAACCGAAGACAGGAAAGAACCATCGCGCAAGCTCAAAGGTACAAACTAAGTGACAAACGCGCAGCTAACCATTCGTCACACATCTGTAAAATCACACATCCGTAAAACCAAAATCCCACATCTGTAAAATAAATGTCAGCTTCTGAACGACCACCCGGGGAGGACAGTTCCACACGACGACTGTTAGAAGTTATCGTTCGGTGTTTTGAAATGCCTTTCGGATAGCTTTAAAGAAAATTACAAAAGCTGGGCCGGCGGTGTAGATGGCACCGGATGCTATTAAACGTGGTGAAATTGTGTTGTGGTGCAGTGAGTTGATTGTTTCTGAATGTACGTATATTTTTGGTCCACGTGTTCTGTATTTCTTAGAAAAAAATTAGTGAGGGCAACATTTTTCGTGGGACCACAAAATTAGTGACAGCCTTGACACACACGTTGCGTGTCTTTTTTGGTCTACTCTATTCTCTTTCTTGGCCACTTATAACAACATATATGTTGTTACAAGTGGCCACAGTCGCTGAACGTTTAAAGAAATCTGTTATGTTAAGTCTTAGTAGGGTTGCAGAAAACGACGGGAAAAATGTCTCGTAGCTATAATTATTCATTGCGAATCTCACAGGCTAACAAAAGTAGGGAGTAGATACAACGGTAATGTTGTTTATACGGCTGCCAAGAAGTTAGGTAAGACTTCTGTCACTGCAGAGAAAAAAAACTGAGTGATTAAAAGACGTGAATTAGACCGTTGTTTGATTCGAAAACGCACTAACAGATTCCTTTATTTTGACCCAGTAATGGCTTATCAGTTCCCTTTTAGCTGCCGCCGCTTCTACGCAGAATAGACGGGCCGCTGCACTTGCCAGAGACAAATGAAACGTGACAGATCATTCAGCGGTGTCCCCACTTCTAATTCATGTCTACTTTTTCGCTAGTTTAGGTGCACGCTGGAGTTCGAGGAATACAAAGCTTGGCATGTGCATAGGAATGAAAACACGCGTTTGATTATTAAGATATGACATATGAATAATAGTGGTGGCGCAGGCATTATAAAACTGTCTTTACCTCGCATAAAGACGAAATCAAGCCTTACGAGTTCTTTTTTTTTCCCACGTAGACCCCTCAAAGTGGTGGATTTATAGGCTTCCTTATCGCATAGAATCACGCAGATAATTGGTGTGCCATCTATCTTTTCCGTTATTAGGCATCTCTTAATTTCGTCGCGAACTTAAGTCCCAAAACCAAGATATGATTATGAGAGGTGGTGTATTGGAGGGCTTTAGAAATTTCAACAAACTTGAGTTTTTTAACGTGAACCTAAATCTAAGCACATGGGCACACGGACCTTCGCCTTCATTGAAAATGTGGGCGCCGTGGCCGGATTTACATCCCTCGACTTGCGGGTCAGCAGCCAAGTGGCTCACCACTAGATCACCTCGGCGGGTGTTGTACGTCTCTTCAGTGGTTAGTTGGAGTTTGTGGTGTCTTGAATTCTGTGTAATGCGTAAGCCTTAGCACCCTATCTTTTTAATTTAAACGATTAACTACTAGTTCAGCTCTGTTATTCTTAGCGAATGCTGCTTACTCATCGAATGTTTGCTTGCGGGAACGCACTGTTTAGGGCCCCCAAATTTTATTGCTATAAGTAATTAATTGTTACGGCTGCTTTTTCTGAGTTAGCGAGAAATTTACTCAACTTGCGCCAGTTTTAATTGTTTTTCGCAAAGATGCGTCATCATCTTCGTATGCATTACTGTAGCACTAGTACTATTTTTGACATGTTCAGCGTAGCCGATCTACGTCGATCGTGCACCAATAACCGAAAAATGTCGTGTTTCGCTCTTCAAATTTGATTATCCAGCCAGCTTGCGGCCTTTTGTCAGTGTGTTCATCTCGACCACTTCTGCTATGACTCAAATGACACGCTTTTTCACACAACTTCAAGTGGCCCCGTGATTTGACGACAGTTTAACGGTCAGTTTTCTAGACAAACCTCTAAATGGCATCATAAAGTGCACACACGCTTCTTTGAAAGACAGGGGACGCATTTTGAGGGCCTTGGTACCATTTCTGTTATTGTCGCAAGCGAAAACACAAAAAATAACAAGACTCTCAACGTTCGCTAGTGTTACCTCTCAAAAACTCCTACGACAGCCCGAGTTGTGTGGATTGTAATGGTGCACAGTATCACATGTTTATTTAAAACAAAATGCAAAAGCAAGTTGAGCAAGTTAGTGACCAAACCTACTTCCTGGTTGCTTTCCTTTCGATTGCTGTCACAGCTGTCAAGCCAGAAAACGGTAGGCAATCATAGCAACACATATCGCTATCATGAATTTTTCTCGCACATCTCTTCTTTACATTGAGAAATAATTATAAAAAGAAGTAGACACGTGGTGAAAAAGAAGCAGTTGTGTGATAGAGCAAGAGATAAGGCTGTATGATATTTTACTGCATATTAAGAGGAATGAACAAAAAAAGGGAAGTGCGTCTGCGACATTACCAAAAGTGCAAATGAATTGTCATCAATTAGAACGTATAGCTGGGTACTAAAAATAGCCCGCATGACCAATGACGGGAAATATTCAGGAGGGTGAAAACATTGCGAGATTCTTACACATAGACTCAAATTATTTCGCGCTAGATTGGCTGGGGTTAATCCTGCAGGTGAGATGTGGCAGGCTAATGAACACGATGGTGAGGGAACATGAAATAATGGGGACCATGGTTACAGAAAACCACCACTTACAACTGAATAATAATTTTTTTGCTTTAGCGTGGGGTACTCAATCTATTAACTTCTCATTTAGATATTCCTTATTTGGCCTCGGTAACTTATGATGTGACATATGAGCAAAATTATGTAAATTAGTTAAGTGCACCATTGACAACTTTTTTTTTGTTCAGGTGTATCTGCATCAGAGTGGAGTTTACTGAGAACCTCCGGTGGCTGATGCAGCTTACAGCTGAGTTTGAGGTCAGTCAGTGAAGCTTATCGGGGGTGTTATTAACACAGTTACATAATAATAAAGAACACTTTTTCTTAATGTTTGCAGTTTTGCTTAAAAATTAACAACTCAACAATATTTTATCAGTAATTCATCATGACTTGTCTGGTATTTTTACTATAAAACTTTGAAATCAATGTCACACAGATATAAATTTCACTAAAAAGAAGTTAAGGGTTGATTATGACAGATATGGTATATGGACATAAGCTTAATACCGTAATGTGGAAATTAAACACCCATAACTAAATTCAAGCTATTTCAACATTAATAGGTGCAAACGAAAACTGAAGAAAATGGACATATATGTTTCCCATAAATGAACCTATATTTTGTTGCAATGCAAAAAACTAACCGAAGCGCTACGTAATATAACTGGGATAGCTGATGGAGAACTATAAAAGCCAAAGCTAGGCCATAGAAACCACAAATTGCGATTCCCAAGGCAGTGAAGAGAGTGATGTTCGGAATTTGGGCAAATATACAACAACAGAGTCATGAAGAGGTTCGTGATTGGATCCCACTTTATCCACCAGAGAAAGCGGAAGGAACGTAGGACTTCTCTCTAGTAGTGTCTACTTGGCCAGTCAGTCAGTCACTCAACGAAGTTCATTTTTGAAGTGTTTCAAGGGGACAATTCCCCTCAAGAAGGAGCTCGGCTTCTGGCCATACCTACGTGCGAACAGGAAGAGTGAGCCTCTTTGTCGAACTGCGGAACCTCAAGAGACAACCTGGTGTGCGTCAGCCTCCACAGTGTTGCAGGGAACTCGGATGGGTCATTCCACGTGACCCATTTTAAAAAAAAAAAATAATTACCGAAAAGCGTCAGTTTCTGTGTTGCTGACACTTGCAGCGCGCTGCTTGAACACACGAAGGCGTAAGAACCGCCATCGTTGTTACTTCACGTTTACCCTGTGTATACCTGCGCGTTCTAGTCGAACATCCTACTTTGCGCTTCAGCAGCCCGCAATAAGTATTGAGCTGCTTCTGGTTTTTCGTTTGACATTCCCATTTTTCCCAATTGCTTTAATGGTTCTCCGTTGTGGTGAAACTGTGACTTTTCATGACGTGACCAGGCAGTCATATTTGCTAAACACTTTTGCCCTCCCAACAAAATATTGGTCTACACCAAGTTATGGAGGTTATCACTAGGCGGCTGGATAGATAGATAGATAGATAGATAGATAGATAGATAGATAGATAGATAGATAGATAGATAGATAGATAGATAGATAGATAGATAGATAGATAGATAGATAGATAGATAGATAGATAGATAGATAAATAGATAGATAGATAGATAGATAGATAATAGATAGATAGATAGATAGATAGATAGATAGATAGATAGATAGATAGATAGATAGATAGATAGATAGATAGATAGATAGATAGATAGATAGATAGATAGATAGATAGATAGATAGATAGATAGATAGATAGATATAGATAGATAGATAGATAGATAGATAGATAGGAACCCTCAAAAAGTCTTCAGCTTGCCAAGAAAAGTTCCATTCAGAAAACAGCAAGGGCGGCGCGAGAATACAAGTCGATTACCAAAAAGCCCATCACGTCATTCTGGTACAAAATAGTATAGGTCTATATGCAGCCACGCCATACGTGCATACATATGGTTATAAGAAATGAACCTCTCCTGTTGTTAAAAAGAACTGAGGGCCCACGTAACGCCCACAAAGAAAACTCGTAGCCGCCCATTTGATAATTGAAGGTATACTAAAGGCAAATGACAATTTTTGTTTTTGAACTGCAGATTGAACTGCAAAACTTGAGATGGTATTCAATAGAAGAGTCTGGGGTAGCTACTATAAATGGTTGAAACAAGTAGAATCGATAAATATTGTAGAGAATTCGTGGAATGAATCAAAGAGAGTAATGTCTGACGTCATCAGATTGCTAGAATTCATAATAAAAATAGCGATACAGATTGCATGTTGGTCTCTTCACAGAAATATGACGAGTATATCTTTCTAGCTCAAGAATCCTTTACAAATAGAGAGCATCGACAAGATGGAAGTCAGTGAACTACGCGCTGCATTTGTTGGTCTTTGTCTTAGTTTAACTATATTTTTGTATAGTTTTTAGGTTTAGTACTTTGGAGCTATGATGTTTATATTATCTACGTCGAAAGATGATTTTGTGTGATACAGAACGCTTTCAAACTAATTCAATCTTCCCTACTGATCCATTCACTAGCAAGTGGTGTACTTTTGTACAAGAGTCGCATACTCTGATTGTTGCCAGGGACTTACAATACTTTTCTTTGCGACAGATAATGAAAAACTCTATTATTACGCTCCAGGGCTGCGGTGTCATTCCAGAAGCAAGATGGGTCAGCCATTATTTGTTGATTGATTCCCGAAAGATACGTCGAAGATTAGGTGTTCTGCGCTTTTTTAGGCTTGAACTGTTCAGCATTGGGAAATCACTAGATAGTGAGTAAAGAGTGACTTATTGGTACGCAAAAGTTCTTTACAAAATTTTTATCGTATCATGTAGTATGTATTGTAAGTAGTTATCTTGATGAAATGACAAAAATAACTCTACATGGAGTTTTTGCTGGCCTTTACAGAGGGACCCATTGTGTATCCAGAGTTATTTCGGAGCCGAGAAGCCGATGGGGGCCACCTCCTGAAGATATCCGATGACATTTTACTTCGACTTCAGAAAAGCTCTGTTTTCGCGAGAGAGGTACTGGTGCGGACGTACACGGATGGTGTACCCATGCACACATACGTAAGTACGAAACAGAAAAGCACTTTGAGAAAAAGCATTGATTTGGAACAGCACTTCGAAAGCTTCTTGCTCTGTTGATTCTTTCAGATGAGCGGACCTTATCTGGAAGGTGATCTTTACCACGACGAAGCTGCGATGGCGTCCGTTATTTTGTCTGAAGAAAGTGGCGTTAAAGTGGTCAGAAAATATTTTCTACTTACAAAGCTAAAATTGCGTAGGTGATATCAAGACAGATGTGTTGACGAAGTTCCACAACGCATTTATGACCAGTTTGCTTCGTTCTACCTCAAAATATTATGCATTAATTTCAAAGAAATATTTGTAGTCTGTCGTTCGTTTTCATGCTCTTCAGTAAACTTAAATAGATGTCTTTTATGATGACTGGAAGTGAACAAAGCGATGCCAAAAAATTTAAATGTTCCTTTTGAGCACACAGTTGCTTACGATACCTTAAGCTCAGTCTTGAAGCCGGGGATGTTGTAAATGCGTATTTGTTGACCTATCTGTCGTTTTCAAATCGAGACGCTATTTGAGACGCTTTGTGCACGCAAATATATAAATGTGAGCCTTAGAATTTTGATAAATTGAGTGATCATGTTTTCCTAAGTTGTACTGTACATCTGCTAATGCAGGATGTAGTGCATTCTAGTCGGTCATTGGAAGAAGTAATTTTTTATAGAGCATTACGTCAATATGTTCCGACGCAAAGCCATTTGAGCTCTTATTATTCAACTTAAGGCAGAAATATTTCATTATTCCGAACAACCGTGCTCTCTGTGGCAAAAGACGTCTTCGATAATGCATGAACCGTAAAGTACGTTACTGCTTTTTTTTTTTTTGAAAAAGAACAATACTGAATGCAATTGCATGTAGAGTTTATACGCTCCTATGAAGAATTTTAGGAGCCCTGAATTACGTGAGTTTAATCGCAGATGCTGTATGTTTTTCCAGTGAACTGTCAGTGCTGAAAGCCATCCCTTGTGAATTGAATGCGAGGTGTCCTGCAGCTAAAGCACTTTGAAAAACCATAGCCAACTCTACGTAGATGTAGGCGCTTGGAGGGGGGGGGAGAAGGAGAGGTTGTGCAGGGGACGACCAACCCACCCCACCTAGTCGCTTAAAAAGGAGGAGTGCAAAGTCTGCCTCATGCATTGACGTATTAGGCAGAGAGCTGCAACGAACGTCCGGCTCCCTTCCCCTCTTCAAGGCGAACTCACATGCTTATGATAGCATCATCATCGAGCATGCATTGCTCTGCATTGACGTTCAAAGATTACTATTTGGAAAGTAGCTAATGGCATTCGTTCTAGTACTGCGGCGTAGCTACCACATTCCGAGCGTGCTATTCTCCCTACGGAAGATGACAAAGAGAACTGCCCTTTACGGTGCGCATGTTGTCCTCTGTTTTCATCGATGCTGAAGACATCAGTAACTACGTTCGTAAAGCGTCAAGTCTCCTGTCAATTTCCCTATCTACTAACTATAGCAAGTTACAAACGTTTTGATGGCGCTCAACACTTTACGATTGTTTCCAAGTTTTCTGTATAAGTTGCATCAATCGGAGAATGTCGGAAACAACAGATATTGCTTGCAGGAAAGAAAGGTTCGCCACACAAAATGCTTGGCGCATAGAATAAGAATATTTCTTTCTGTATTTGCAGGAAGGCATGATCAACGCAAGGATGCGTATCGTGCCACTCCAGACACACGAACGCAGTGAAGACGGTCGTATGGCGCACATACTTATTGAAATTCCAGATGACGTATCAAATTACAATGAAGACTATGGTAAGGATCACTGAATCAACTAGCTTTTGAATCATCAAGAGCGCCAATTTATGTTTCTCTTACAGATTTCACTACGTCTAAGCATACATTAAGTCTGACCCATGCTCTGAACAAAAATGGTACGTCCTTCTCACTTCAAAATTGTTTTCACCTTATGACACGCCTCTGACAGCTCACAATATGCGAATGTATCTGTTTCAGAAACCATGCACGTGACAGAACGTTCAGCTGACATCGTATATCCTGAACTTTTTGTCGTTGTGGACTCTGCCTTTGCAGCGGTGTTCAATAGTACCGCTGACATTATTAAATACGTCTCCGTATCAGTAAATGCTGTAAGTAAGGAACCTCGCGCAGCAGTATGCGCGGGTGGAGCTTGATTACGCGTCACCATCTTCATTTTTTTAAATAGAAGAACTTCGAAAGCGTTTACCGTAATTTTGAGCCAGCAAGAGTTTTCTTACAGAAGATATTCATTATACCTGAATCTTTTGTTGATGCGAGCACTGACAGGAATATTTCTGCATTGTAATATTTGTCTCTATGGAGTATTCAACGTAAATTTATGATTTGCACACGTTTACAAGTCGCTGAAAATTGTTTCTGATCAATTCTTTTATACAATAGCGTAAATTTCTCTTAGTTCTATATTCGTGTTGATCACAAAAGACCATTCCTGGTAGAACTTTTGAAATAAAACAACACGTTGAAGTAAAAAGAATCTTTACTTACGATTCGTAAATTATATTCCAGAAAATGAACAGTGAACATCCTTCCAAACTTAAAACTTACCGTGTATTGTTCATGTCGTCATAGACTGTAAGTTTATAGAACAGGAAAGTTTACTTGTATGCGCTGTTGTAATTGTTAGCGCGCTGTTTTACTTAATGATTACTTTCATTTTTACTTGAAACCCGTAACTGTATATCTTCTTTTCAGATGAATCTCAAATACTTGGGGATTACCGATCCTAAAGTGAAACACCGACTGGTTGGACTAGAAGTCACAACTGTAAGATAATAATTTATTCAAGCACAAATCCTTATCAAGGTCTTGTAGCCCGGTCTGTTGATAGCGAGGTAGGTCGCATCCCCTTCAGTACCACCAGGCCGAGCCTTATGGCGTTATCGTGGATATTTTGGGCAGCCCGCAGTAGATCTTGATATGGAAAGCTTTGCCCTATCTTCGGCCATTAAAGCCATTTGTCATCTTGGTCAGCGAGAGTCGTGGCACAGCCCACCAGCCTATGCCTGACTTCACTGATGTAATCGCACGCGTTACATTCTTTTTTTTTTCACTATTAATAGGATGTTTTAGTTAGAACGTATGGAGTGGATTGAGTAGTGGTTTTTATACAGGGTGCTCCACATAACTTGACCCAAGAATTTGAAAGTGAAAGACACTTTTGTGGTGAATTTAATTAAGCGCGTACTACTCGCACTAGCCTGTAGGTACTCAGGCTACTTTTTATTTCTCCCCAATAAATAATATTATTCCTAATTACTGGTTTTTTAAATTATGGGCTAGAAACCCAAAATAAGAACACTGAGGTGTAGAGTACTTGCAGAAACCACCGACTAAATTGTGTTTTGCACGATACGTCTCGCACTGTTATTTTTTTCCGCGTTGTAAAGAAAGCCTATAGCAGCACTATAACTTTGCGATCGCGGTCTGTCACGTGGCTTCTTTATCAATTTTCCGGGCTTTCTTTGCAACTTCAAAAAATTAACAGCGCGATACGTATCGTACAGGACGCAATTTAGTCGGTGGTTTCTGCAGGTATTTTACATCTCAGTGTTCATATTTTGAGTTTCTAGCCCATAATTAAAATTAGGTAATTAAGAATCATTAATTCATTAGTATAGCGAAAACTAAACAATAGTCTGAGTACCTACAGGCTAGTACGAGCAGTATGCGTTTGGTTCAAATTGCTCCTAAGTGCCTTTTACTTTCAAATTCTTGGCTCAAGTTATGTGGGACACCCTGTATAGAGGTCAGTACACCTGCCTGATATTCATTAAATTATTAGTGCAACCTCAGAAGTCATAAAATTGTGGCCCCCCATTATCATGACAAATGTTCTGAAGCTAACGTTGCTTCTCAAAAAAAAAGTGGTGTTACCAACAACGATGATTCTGCCCCGCCGCGGTGGTCTAGTGGCTAAGGTACTCAGCTGCTGACCCGCAGGGTGCGGGTTCAAATCCCGGTTGCGGCGGCTGCCTTTCCGATGGAGGCGGAAATGTTGTAGGCTCGTGTGCTCAGATTTGGGTGCACGTTAAAGAACCCCAGGTGGTCCAAATTTCCGGAGCCCTCCACTACGGCGTCTCTCATAATCATATAGTGGTTTTGGGACGTTAAACCCCACATATCAATCAATTAATCAACAACGATGATTCTAGAAAACTATTGCTAATGGTGAAATCTAGCGCAGAGAATAATAGATACTGAAGATTACCGACTGTTAGAAGCGGGAAAAGAAAATGAATATGAACAGAATCCTTGTTCAAATTGTCACTTTGCATGCGTCAAGCTATGTTCTTGATAAATGGTCTCGATAGCGGATGGTCACTATCAGCGATCACAACAGGAATCGTGCAAATAGCAGCGAGTTGTGCGGTTAAGAATTTTCGTATACAGGCTAGTGTCGTCAAGTTATTCCACGCCCTGCCTCTATTGATGCGCAGGAAACGTTAATAGCGAGTCCTTTTGATCACATTTCGATGGGTTTGAGAAAGCATTCTAAACTGAAGATGAAGCAGAGCTTCTGTTAATCATGCGGCGTTATTCCAAAGTACTCTTTTGAAATATAAGCAAAGTGTTCTCTCAAAGCAATGCTATTTACCCTATAAAAACAGGTTTCTTTTGGAGAAAAGATCGCCATTCCCGACAAGACGAGAAATGACAAGGTCGTGATGACCAGACGCCGCTAACCACCGCTTTCTTGTGTATAAAGTGAACTGATTCCCGTTTTCAGGCATTCAACTTCTGTAATTTTAGCCTTTGGAAAACCGAGCACCTGCGAATTCATTACCCAGAATATTAACATTTTTTTTTTCAATCAGTAGTCATACCCTGCGCTTCTTCTACTCCTGTATATGAGGCGACGCCCCTATTACGGCTCCTGTGATCACCGCAGAGCATGAGCTTTGAGGATTTTGGCCCCTAAATCGCCGAGTTTGGCTTACGCAAGTAAAAGAGCGTTTTCATCTGCGGCACTTTAAGCCACAGAGAGCAATCTTCTGCCCGCCACGCCACCCTAGGACATCACCCATGCCGCAGATAAGCTCCACGTAGTATACGCTTTCAGCCGCAACAGGAGACAGCCGCAAACTTTCTGACAATAGGCTTACCAGTTAGTGCCCGGGAAACCAGACGACCCATCACTGTCACAACAACAATATTGGAGGCTCCAGTTACTTGTTCGACATTCCTCAATCGAGAGCCATCTTTTATATTTGTGTGAACTCTTTTTTCAGCGCCTCCCAAAGTGATCATCTGAACCCAGCTTGCTCCGTTGGCATGATTTGCGATGCGCTAGCTGCCCTCGCCCACAACATCTGCCACAGCTAATTCTTGGTACACGTATTTATCACCCCTGAGAAAGCCTCAGTGCCAAGAAACGAACTGTTGCAGCTGAAGGAAACAGGCGACCGCTCAATAATTGCCATTGAGGACCTAGAGACTGGAGTCAATGCATACAACTTATTTGAGCGCATTTTTTCGTGGAATTTCCGTCAAATTGTAGTTTTTTTCTGAATGGTCAAGAAAAAATTGTGCTTTACGGGAGACTAATTCGTTGCAATATTTTGGAAATGTGTAGAGATAAGTGCTGAACTCACAGGCCTTTCAGTATTAAGAGCTGTTTTTTTTTCTGGTGCTTAGGTTGCTTTCGCTAAGAAAAAAGTGCTTCTGGGCGACATTCCAATACAAACCAAGAATCTAAAGATAGAAAATAATAATACAGTGGATTAATAGTCAACATATCTACGTATATCTGTCCGATGACTTTGATTGCTGCTAGATGCTTTCGTGGGCGGTTCACGTAAATGTTGCAAACAGGGGATTTCAAACGGTAGGCTTTTGTGTTTCATAATCTCTGTAGACATAAAGGGTTTTCTTCAGTAAGTGCCTATATTTTGAAATATAAGCAGCTCGCATTTGAACTTCACTAAATGGAGGCCATAGCATATTGAATCATTAGATTTTTTTTATTGTCGTAAATATTTGTGTATTCAACAACAATACTAATTTTTGCTGCTATAACACTTTTGTACATTAAATATAGGAGTGTTTTTGAACATTACAGGTACCATTAACGCAAGCTAAAGTTATCATTTTTAGTCTACTGTGTTGTACATTTCTTGAATATTGTGCATTGCTCGCAGGTCAAGTTTGGCTTTCTCTTATATTTTTAGGTGGAGCAGGAGCAGTTTCTACGAAGAGTGACTGCGGACCAGAGATTTGTTCACTCACAGGGAACGCTTGCTTCGTTTCAAACATACATAACGCAAAACAGTAAGGTGTACGAGAAAGCTGACCTCATTTATCTTATAACTGGGTAAGCTTCCAATATGTACTTCTTTCGGAAGTGTGAGTAGTTCGCACTACGGCAGCATCGAAATTTGACTACATCTATATAAATGTGTTTGTGCGCTTAGCCAGTTAAATTGACTCCACATTAGGTGTCAATTCTCTCAATCATCCTACGTGAGCAGAGCAGCAGTAGCAAGTTGTGCTAGTATAACGAAATCTGGCGTTTCACGCCCCATAAATACGATATGATGCTGAGAGACGCCATTGTGACGGCCTTCGGAAATTTTGACCATGTAGTGTTCATGGAGTGACAGGACTTGGTATAATCCCTCCGACATTTCACCTTCATTGAAATGTGACCGCCGAGTCCAGGATTGCACGCGCGACCACTGGACACGCTATTCTAAGTAGTTGCAGATTACATAAAAGACGACTTATTAAAACGATGCCTACAAGGGTGTAGAAACATTTTTCGTCTTGTCACCCCATGTGTTGCTTACGGGCGTGTACCTGTTTTTTTTTTGTTCGTTTAAGATTTATTTAGATTGTTTAAGGTAACCAATCAATAAATTAGCTTTTCTATTTATTCTAAATTTCGGAAAGACAACACATCGCTTGCATGATGGCATATTCTACTCAGTACACTCTTCAACACTCTTCATGTAAAAATACCTGAAAACCTTCCTAGCCCCACGCTTCTCAAATTTTAACTTCCTGCAAGCTTCCCGCCCTCAAGTGAGGTCCATCTCATATCACGATGTACTCCCTGATTTCGTGTATTCCCGTGAGCTCCTAAAGCGAGCCTACTTATTCCACGTTGCTTAATTTCTAATCTTCATTGAACTTCTGATCTCATGCACAAGACCGCCTTGCCGAAAGTCAGATAAGGAACTACGACCCCTTTCCATATTCCTCCCACAACATCATACCTATTGTAATTCCACAGTGCCCTATTTTTCATCACTGCTGCACTCCTATTATCTTTAGTTGCTACGTATATCTTGTGTTCCCTTATGTACTCGGTCCCATTGCTTATCCATACGCCCGGATATTTGTATTTATCTGTTATTTCTAGCGTGACCTCTTGTATTCCAAGCTCACTACCTTGATTATCATTAAAAATTATGATTGCTGATTTTTCTCACTGAATCTGAAATCTTACCTATCTCCCTCATTACCGCAGATGTCCATCAACCTTCACAAATCTTCCTTGTTGTTGGCCATTCGCACTATATTATCTGCGTACGTGAATGCTGATAGCGCCTGTTCAATGAGGTTTCCTTGTTTGACGAAACAGCGGTTGGAGCCAAGTCCACTTCTCTCTAATATGGCCTCTAACTTTTGTAGGTACATCATGAATAACAACGGTGACAGAAGACATCCCTGTTTAAGCCACCGTTTTACCTCTGTGGGCTTGGATACCTGTTTTTCCCATTTTATAACTACCTTGTTGCATTATAAATATCTTTTAAAATATTAGTGACTCTAACTTTCACACCTAATGTGTCCTGTATTCCCCACAAGTCCTCTTGAAGCACGCTATCATATGCTCCCTTGATATCCAAATATGCTAGCCACAGGGGCTTTTGTTCTTTTCTGCTATTTCAATGCACTGCGTCAGTGAGAACAGATTGTCTTCCAACCTCCTGTGTTTCCGAAACCCAATCTGCAGTTCCCCATGCACCCCCTCATCGTCTATCCATGCTTGCAGTCTTTCCTTTATAATCTGCATTGCCAGCCTGTAGATCACTGATGTCACTGTTATAGGACGGTAGTTGTTTATGTCAGCTTTGTCCCCCTTTCCTTTATAGATCATGCTCATCGTGCTAAGTTTCCATCCAAGGGGGAATTTACCATCGATTATTGTTATGCTCACTGCCTCTCTCAAAGTCTGTTAAGACTTCAGACCCAATGTCCTTATCAGCATAATTGAAATGCCATCTGGCCCTGTTAATGTACTACCAGGAACCCTCTTCACAGCCCTTTCCCGATCTCCTTGTGAAAATGGAGCCATTGCGCCACTTGATTCATCCTTGTCTATTGTGGTGCATATCTTTGTTGAAAATTTTCTGCCACCCTTGTTCTTTTATATTCAATAGCTTCGCCCCCTTCAAGTCCAGCACTTAAAGGTGTGGTTATAAACCTCTGTTCTAGGCATGTCTCAATTCTTAGGGAGTTTAGAAGTTCCAAAATTTAGCAGCTGCCTTTCTATCCTTTTTATGTACTTCTGCCAGCCACTGAGCCCCCTTTCCTTTAATCTTTTCTTTGATCAGAAGGGATACTTCTCTACTACAGCTTAGAATTATGTGCCATTTTCTTTCAACATCATCTGTTGGATCACCCCGCTGCTTAGCATGTCTGTGTTCCCTAGAGGCTTGCTGACGTTTCGCTATGGCTCTCTTAACTTCCTCATCCCACCAATTATTGGGTTTGTGTCTTCTTTTCCTGGGTGACTTATTACGTGCCTTAGCAAGCTCTAGCTCAAATAGTCTAATTAGATTCGTGTATATCCACCTGTTTTTTATCATCAGTGATTATATTTTCAATTTGTCCAGTAGCTATCTCAATTTGCCTTTCAGAATAAAAATTTTCCTGTTCTTGCTGATATTGTCTCCTTCCCACTTTCACTGCTCTTCCAGAATTCAGCTTGATACGTTTTTGATTACCAACCAGACTTCTAGAGCCACATTCATCTATGCGCATTGCCCTGAGCCTATCATACATCCTTTGTGATATCAGTGCATAATCTATCGTTGACTGCAGCCTTACTACCTCCCATGTTATTTACCCTTCACACTTCTCAGTACTGTTGCAAATGATAAAATCATGCCTTTCACACATATCCATGATCATTTTGCCTGTTGGGTCAGTCTACCCATCTATATCTTCTATATGCGCATTCATATCTCCTAGTATAATCATCTCACCCTATCCTCCTAATTGTTTTTTGTATTTTGATATACACAACACCATTGCCTGCTTTTTCTCTCTGGCTTTTGCTCCCGTCCACAAGTACACCAAACCAAAGAGTGCCATCTGCCCAGCTACTTTCCCTTTTAACCATAAATGTTCCATGCATCCCTGCATTACTCTTTGCCATTCCATACTTTCATGTATGAATGCACCAATTCCACCCCCCTTTTTGCTGCCTCTTCTTCTATTGCAAGATTTCCATACGTAGTCTGTATTGCAAGGTGGTTGCTCCATGTCCCGATGTGTCTCCACAACCCCATATGCCATCAGCTCCTCATGCCTCAAATGCTGTTCTATCTCTTCCCACTTGAACCTATTCCTGCCAGCCTGCATGTTGATATAGCCTATGTCTGACTTATCTCGGCCCTTGTGCTTCCATCGATTTCTTCTCTCACGGACTCCATGTGGCTTGGATATCTGTGCCCCTTTAGAACCGTCTTTGGCTACACTGTTGGCCTCAGGGCTCTAGGTCCCAATACAAAAGCTGTGGCTTGACGACCCATTTTATCACCGACCCTCCAGCCCGTCGCACCACTTTAGTGAATTTTATCCTGTGCAAAGGAGCGAGTGCCGGGCTCGTATACGTCTTGGTTCACTTACATTACACTGTATCCGAGTTGCCGGCTCATACCCTCAATCACACAGTTGGCCTCCACTACCCTCCTTTCGATTCCACGAGACTTCCCCCAGACCTCTGGGACTGCGCATATGGCCATATGCACACTCCCAGAGGCTTCTCGGAGCTTACGCATCCCATCCTCTAACTCTCTCTGAAGGTTCTGATCTTTGCTCTTCAATGCATCAATGAGCCCAGCATGAATAATAACGAGATTTTCGCCCTCCATGCAGTCCTCTACAACCTCCTGAGCTTTGGCCAGTGCATCCACCATGCTCTTCCCTGACTGGGCCTCCACCCTCAATCTCCCATCTTGCTTCACTGCCGTGAAGACGCCATCCCTAACCCTGGCCACGTTAGAGTCCCCCACCACTAGGACCCTCCTACGCTCCAATCGCTGGCTTCCTGATTGTGATGGTGCCCTTGCTTGCTTCCTCTGTTTCTCTCTCTGCCGTGTGCCCTGTGTTCCTGCCCTGCTCGAAGACTGCCGCGCCACCGAGCTGTATATTCTCGGAGCCTCCGTGCTGCGGCAAGACACTGCGGCCCCCTGACCTCCCTTCTCACCTGTTCTTTCGCACCTGTCACCTTCTCTGCTACCGACGCCTTCCGTATCAAACCGCTTGGGGACGGGGCAAAGCGCCATTAGCTCCTTTACGCGCTGGTCAAGCTTGGTCCACCCTTCACGTTCTTTTCGATGGTTTCCCTTCATTTGCACTAATAGGCTGGCGGTAACCTCTTTTCGCTCACGCGACGCTCCAAGCTGTTTTCGGAGTTCTATTCGCTGCTCCTGTTCCGCCATAAGCTCCCCCTGAAGCCCCGATAGTTGCAGCGAGCGCCACCACCACGGAACAGAGGAAGGCTCGGGAAGCCGTACGTACACGTCAGCGTTGGCAAGCATACCCAAAACGTCGGGCCAGGGAAAGCGAACGTAAACGTCAACGTCGGCGGGCAACTTCTGTGGAAGAAACGGGGGTTCGGCATGTGCTATCGGCTGCGCACCCCCGTGATGCTTTCGCATCCAACCAAGGTTGCCGGCAGGGAGAGATGATATGAAATTTTCTCATGTCTCCTGATTTCGCACCATCTCCGTGATTCGCCAACTTTTGACGAAGCGACAATTGAAAAGAATTACGTAATCATGTGAAGTCACGTGATGTGAAGTCATAGTGACGTCATGATTACGCCATTATCAGCAACAGATTTGGGTCAACTGTGAAAGTCGTAATGTATGCATAGGGTGCCGTCATCGCATGATGATCACTTTTTCATCGCTGGTGTGGACGCCGCTTCTGCCCCTGACGGCACCCTGTCGCGCTTGATGAGGTATCGACGGCTTTCAATTTTTAATTGTTATTCGGCAACAACCGAAAATTTGGCGGTCGCAGAATAAAAATTTAAAAATCGAAAGCCTTCATCGTGTAGTCTAGACCAAATCATGCACCGAAATTTTAGGCGGTGGCCCTTTCACCGCCTATTGAACTTCACCCCTAAACTCAGCACTAGCAGCGGCATCCTGCAAAGTTGCTGTTATGATCAGCTTTTTTTCAATAAATTATCTTTGGGAGCAGCACTTGGGTACACAATGACATTCACAGAAATTATTAAAGACAATGTTGCGTCTCATAACTTCGTATGGGACGCAATTATTGTTACATAAGAAATTATTAGTATATGTCACGAGGGCTCGAATATTTTGTTGTACTTTAAGATTACTCATACGTGAAGTTTCTATACCTTTTTTTTATTTTCCAGACAGGACTTGGCTACGGTAAAAATTACCAAGTATCTAATCGCAATGCTGGTAAGTTGCTCTAAAATTTATTTATTAAAAGTAGTACGTACAACAAATATTACTTGTGCTTGGTGTTTTATAATTTGGTATGAGTATTTCTACACTATATTTCACATATCCGCGAATTAGCACTTTCATGCAGTAATGAATGAATATATAAATGAATGAATGAATGAACGAACGACTAAAATAATGAATGAATGAATGAATGAATGATTGAACTTTATTAGAAGTCCGGCAAATTCTACCGGGCGAGTTGGGGAAAGAGATGGATTACCTTCTATCCTTTCCCACCCTACGTTGATTATGATGATGGTGTCTCAGGTGACCGCTCAGAGTTCTTAGACCCGGGCAGCATCTTCGGCTTGCCGGACTGCTTAAACGAAAATCTAAAGGAAAAGTGCTTGCACAGTATATAAATCTTTCAAAAGCAAATGTTCATAGGTCAAAATGTTGTTTATGTTAATTGAATCTTACCGATTGTGCTAAGCACTCGTTCTGTGCGTTATTTCTTCTGGTGTACGTTATTCTATTTACTTTCATGACATGCATAATGTATTCTAGTTATTTTGTAAGTATCCAACAGCGTACGTTTGAATGTGCCTCCACTGCGTCGATTTCAAAGGCGATATCGTAGACAGAACACATGTTCAGGTCAATGTGAATTATATTTTTATTAAGAATTAGCATTACAGCCCTGGTACTTTGAAGGTTGCAAAATGGTTTGTATTTTCCTGGATTAGACGATTCCAACGAGCGCATAAATTCTTTGGGAATTCTGTGAGGTGACTATGACGAACATTGATTGTTTGACTCAACAGAGGAACACGTGTGTTATAGCTATGTCAGCTAATATTTTCATTAGCACATTATTATGAGGTATAACGTGCCAACTCAAACAATTATAGTGAATTTGGTATGGAAAACTTTAGCAGCAAGATTACGCATTGAATAGCTCTAGAAATCAAGCATGTTTTGAATTTGATGACAAACCTAATGTGAATGGTGGTGGTGTGCTTGTGCGTCTGTGTCTGTTATTTATATACACGTACTGTGAATATGTAAATTAATTTAGGTTTATAGGTTAATACATTGCTATGGTACAATCAATACCCTGTCACTGATACGTTGTTATCTCTGGTTCCTTAGGATTTGCTTATGTAAGAACAGTATGCAGTGTTCACAAAGTAGGGATCGGAGAAGACAGCCCCCCAACTTTCAAAGGTGTTCACGTAATGTCACATGAAATAGGGCATATGTAAGTAGTAACATGATTTCTTGCTTCAAACATTTCATTAGAGATAAGTTTACAGAAAGCACATGTTTGAAAACTCAATTTTTTGTTGTCAGTACGGTTGTAATTCTCTTTGCTGACGTCTCCTGTGCAGTATCGCCTAATGAATGTGAACACGCGTGGCGAAAGTCCTCGGAAAACATAGTCAACACAAAGTTTAGCGGTGAAGTTTGTATGTCATTATCATTATCATCACAGTGACTGTGTCCACTGCAGAGCAAATGCATGTTGAACGCTCCGCCAATCAACTAGGTCATGTGCTTTCTGGTTCCACGTTGTACGCGGACGATCGTAAGACTCACCGCCATCAAATGAAGCCGCCCATAGAGCGGGAACAAATTTCATATATACTCAAGATCGCGTTTATACAGTTGTCACTTGTGCAGTGAAAAAAAATGTCATGATTTGTCTGGCGCCTTCTGTACGAACACGCGGAAGGGATGAACAGTCGTGTACCGTGCATGACAAAAGTGAATGCGCCGCGCAGCATATTGCTGGTATTCATGCGGTCTTCACCGCACATTTTGGCAGCAAGGTGCACTAGTTGTGTAAATAGAGGCTCAGAGAACAAGTATTATCAACAGCAAAAGATTCCTTGCACCCAGTGTAGGGAATCATACCTGTCGCTCTAGGCTGGTGAATATCCCTGCTTTTCCCTCCTATTCCTCCTTCCTCTTGGGGGGATGAAATGTTCGATAAAGGTAAATTCCCGCTTTGTCTGTGAGTGTACTTTCAAAATAAGTGTTTCATACTGCACTTCGCATTCATACCTATACAGTCACTAGCTCGATTAAAAGCATTAAGCACTAATATAGTGGAAATTCGCATTTCTTGTGGGTCCAACGTCCCGCAAACTCCTGCTGTTGATAGTACAAATCTGGAGAGGTGCAGGCACAAGCACAAGTTCATTCACTCACTTCCATGGGGCGCCCATGTTCCCGAAATCACATGCGTATCGCATGCAGCTTCTCAACTCTACTCAGTGGTGTCCGAGTACCAAGCGCCCGCCTACGGGCATCAGTGGCTATAGGGTGCTTGGCTGCTGACCCGAATGCCTAGCATCTATCCAAGACACGGCATTTGCGTTTAGATGGATGCAAAACGGTAAAGGCCGAGTACTGTGTGATTTTAGTGCACGTTAAGGAACAATACTTGGTCAAAATTTTTGGAGCCCTCTAATATGGCGTCACTCATATGAGATTGTGGTTTTAAAACAAAAATACCAGGATGGTATTATTGTTATTATTATTATTATTATTATTATTATTATTATATTAGTGTAAAAAGCACTTAAACGGGAAAAAACTGCACTGCAATACAGGCTGCAGCAGCTTGCAGAACAAGCGTAACGGGAAGTATTCTCAATCGCATTTCCAATGGAGGTACAATTTCACCAGAAAACAGAAGGTTTCGGCGCCGGACCTCTTAAAAGAGGCGTTGGTGAATGCTTATTTCACAATTTTTTGAGAAGCGCTTTCTCTCAAACTAAGAATTTCATCGGCTCAAAACGCTTCTTACGCTTCTATTGAGGTATGAACTGCTCTTATTCACTGCTTCTCCGCACGACGCACTGCCTAGTGCATGTGCAGAAGAGTCACTGTCTGAAAGGTGTCGGCTACTGCGTGGGCACTTCTATGTACGCCGTAAAAGAGCGTTCACGTGGCTGCAAAAGGAAGGGGGGGGGGGTGATAAACAAGTGTGATAGCTTTGATATAGTAACTAGCAACAGAACAGTACACAGTGTATGCCGGGGTTTTATTAACATCTACTTATTTATTTATTTCACAAGTTCCACTCCTACGCCATCCCATTCTTTTTTTTATTTGCGTGCATTCCAGCGCAGATTCCATTTGCCTTTCCACATAACATGTTTTCATGCTTTCACACGACCACTTTTTCTCTTCAATTGGAGCGAAACCCTGTTGTTTAGTCGACCCGCCGCGGTGGTCTAGTGTCTAAGGTACTCGGCTGCTGACCCGCAGGTCGCGGGTTCGTATCCCGGCTGCGGCGGCTGCATTTCCGATGGAGGCGGAAAAGTTTTAGGCCCGTGTGCTCAGATTTGGGTGCACGTTAAAGAACCCCAGGTGGTCAAAATTTCTGGAGCCCTCCACTACGGCGTCTCTCATAATCATATGGTGGTTTTGGGACGTTAAGCCCCACAAATCAATCAAATCAATCAATCCTGTTGTTTAGTCGTACAAATAAGTATATGTCATCTTTTATGAAGTACGTGCTATTTTCAAGCGTGAAATACAAATGGGTGCCATTCTGATGTTGGCTTAAAATATTGTGAGTATAGAGTGGGCACACCTAGCCCCGGACTGGGTCATGTGACAGAACCAGTAAGAGGCCCACGCCTCACTCTGCGTGAAGTAGTGCTGAAAATGATGATGACTTGTAGATCGAATTCGGTGGACATCAACCTGCCAATAGATAGAAGATAATGTACACCGTATTAACAAAATCAACGGCAAGAAAAGGTGTATTCTGGCTGTGTTTTAATTTATAATACTTTTCTACACGCAACCTGCAAAGATTAGCGATAACAAAATTAGTAATACACACTTAATTTCAAATTGATCATCTGCCTGTCACGACATGACCACAAAAAGTTGTCTCTGTTTATTTGCGATTTACAGCTTGGCTTCGAAAGAGGCTAACTTGATAAGTATTCGTATGCATACTATTTCTAGCATGGGCTGTCTGCACGATGGCGAACACTCCCCTTTCGTAAATGACCCAATTCCTGGATCGGAGAGTTGCCCTTTCGCAGACGGTTATTTGATGAGCTACCTAAGGAAAAACAAGAACACATACAAGTTTTCCGCCTGCAGCATCACACAAATGAGGGAAACAGCACGGTATGTCTTCCTTCCTTTTATTACTAGAGCAATAAAATCCTAATTTTAGGCAACAAGCACAATGTTACGAGGCACGGGTTGCCTGGGAAATATTACCTTCCTCGGAAAAATGAATTGGCCATCTGCAGTACTTCAGACACAAGATCACTCTCTTAGAACCCTGTAGGTGTTCTTTTGAATAATTCTGAATCTTTGACCTTGTCTGTAAACATTTTAAATGTTGGTCGTCCATCTTCGGTTTTGAAACCTTTCCAATAATAGTAGTCCAGTTACTCTGAAGCAATGTGAACTTTCCTATGCTTGTAACATAGCTTACTGCATTGGCTTAAAGAGACCTTGGTGGCCAAGGGAGGCTCTCATGACCCTTGCATAATAACAGCCATCGTAATCATATTATTGGCGTAAATATACTCAGACACAACATCGGAAATCTTGAGATTAATCTTGAGATGCTACGCCCAGACGACCGAAGGGCGGCCGCCGGTTGCCTTCGTGACGAACGAAAGTCCCACGCATGCACTCGCCACTGCACCGAGGACGGGAAACTGCCGGCATAGATTATCCTACAAATACACCGAAGGAAACACTGGCCCTAGTGTCTGTGAGAGCTGTAAAGCACGGCGCTTCAGCCAGCATTGAAACTATGGGTAGTACAAGGATTTATGTAATCTTCATACTTCCAGCTTCATTTGGCTTCGATTGGCTGGGGGCTGCTTTGTAACGAAACAAAAATCGGCAAGTGTTCAGCAGTCGAACTATAAAATAGGTTTTTTCTTTGAGCTCACCATTTACAATCGAGTCACAAAGTTCTGAACAGTCGGTTCTTTCATTCGAAACAAAAGCAAAATATAGGAACGAACAAAACCATCCGTATGTTCTAAGCTCACAAGCACTAAGAGTATAAACAAACTCGTGTACCACCCATCATGGTCGGTGAACAGTGGCAGCGCCAGGGTTCTCTCTCGTTTTTAAGAAAAATCTATGATCAATAGCACAGCTTATGTTGTCAGTCTGTTGTGCACGCAAATCGGTGGAGTCTTGCTTGTAGCCACCTATGAGGTAGATGTGCTGCCGCCTATCCGACTTTGGATAAACACACCAACCAACAGTCCCCTACTGAATCATTGTACTTATCATTTGACTTAGGTCCCAAGCGGCATCCTGCCTACACGAAGAAAACTTCGTTAATACAACCCTGAAGAAGTATCCCTATCTGCCCGGGCAGTTGTTGACGAGGACAAGGCAGTGCCAGAATGCTTTTCCAACTTTAAAGAATATACAGTTCTTGCAAGTGAGTATAAAGATGTTGACATTAACCTTACCAAGAAACTTCCTTCAGCAAAAAATGCACTTGTCAAGTTTTACTAAGTGTATGCTCTCCAAAACAACATGTTGGTGCTGAAATATTTACTATTTTGTTCGAAAATCATCCTTGATGTATACCGACCATCTTCCCTAATGGTATATCAAGAATCAACAAGCTTTGGCTACAAGGTTTCTGTTATGAACTTTTTCAGCATAGTCGGTTTTTAGCAACATTAGCTCAGGCGATAAGCTCATTGTAACTGCCGTTAAGCTTGACCACCAGCTGGGGATTTATACAAGGCAAACAAATCAATATTTATGGACACTTTGGTGGATTTACTTCAAGCACTTAAAAAATTTAAGCAATATTTACAGTTAAGCTTGAAATCCACAGGTCATCGCCAATCGCACTGCACCACCGAGGTATGTTAAAACATTAATTTGTTTATTGCTTTTGTCAAGGGCTAATTTGTTCGAAAGTTCTAACTTAATGTGGCTTTTTGTGAAACAATTCGCGTGTTTTTATGTAATCAGCAATGTGAAGTTATCATCTGAGATTATAACTGACACAAATTTGCTGCTTGCTTACTATTTTAATAGTCAAACAGACAGTACAAGCATTCCGCATTGCGTTCATGTATTTTATATTGCATTAGAGAGAACGACCTTCCCCTGAGACCCCCGCCACAATATTTAACGGGAATACGACACCAGGTTACCTGCCCTAGGGAATAAACCTCCTAATCGCTCTGCATATATTTTTAAAAACAGAAAATATATATTCTTTTTTAAATTTGTACACTTAATGAATCATAATTCGCTACGTAGCAGCTGTGTTTAGCGCGCAGCGATATATCATTGTTTTGCCGAATAGAATAAAATAAAAACGTGTCTTTGTTCTATCACCCCGAAACCCGAAATTATGCGTGTTCGGTAATAGACGACAACGTAACGCTTTTTTCCAGAAATATGGAGTGAAAGACTGTACCATAAGATGTGGTATTCCAAGCGAAGCTCCAGATTCAGAGCACAGAGTCCTTCATTTAAGTGATGGAACTAAATGCGCAAGAAAGAATCGCAGCAAATACGTAAGTGCTGTCACTCTTACAGTCACCTTTGTGCACACCAAATTGTTTCTAAGTCCGTCTACGGAAAGCTCTTAAAAATATTGTGGCCGTTTATTGGGCACATCTACCTTCTTCATACATGTTCATTATCATGAGTGTTCGTAGACTTCAACGTTTGTGGAAACTCGGCCTGCTTGTGATCTGTGCCTTGGATGTGGTCCCTTTATCCTGATTTCGGCGCCTAATAAAGACCATTTAACTTTGATATTACAAGATATCGGTATTTACATATTGCACAGCAAGCCCGAAAGAGGAAACATGATGGCACTTCAACATTGTTGTAAGCGCCAATCACTTCAGGTACCCGGGGCTGTCAAATGCCATCGCATGTTGTCGTCGCTTGCGTAAAGAAGGAAAAGCGTTCGCTCGCGCCAAGAATGGACCTTCTTCCTCTTGTTCATCAAGAATCCTACGATCACAATAGTTGCGGAGCACAGCAGCTACCCGAGATGTCCTGTTCTGTCGTATGCTGTCAATGGTTTTCACAACGTAGAAAAAACCACGCATAAAAATAAAAGAAAAAAAACACAAGAACCAATTGATTGATTGATATGTGGAGTTTAACGTCCCAAAACCACTATATGATTATGAGAGACGCCGTAGTGGAGGGCTGCGGAAATTTAGACCACCTGGGGTTCTTTAACGTGCACCCAAATCTGAGCACACGGGCGTACAACATTTCCGCCTCCATCGGAAATGCAGCCGCCGCAGCCGGGATTCGAACCCGCGCCCTGCGGGTCAGCAGCCGAGTACCTCAGCCACTAGACCACCGCGGCGGGGCCACAAGAACCAAGCGACAGCTTGACAACTATAGAGGAAAAATGAAAAAGAAATTAAGACTAGGAAGAGTAAGAAACCAAAAGAAAAAAAATGCCAGGGGGAAATAAGTAGACAGAAATATGGACACAAAGACAGAAAAAATGAAAATAAACAGAGGTAGAAAGAAATAATAAAAAAAGACAGCTGCCCAGCTGCACACTTGCTTGAGGCTTGACAACGTGAGTGCGACGCTGCCTTAATATCTTTTTTTTTCTTTTTGGTTTAAAGCAGTGTCGGTATTTTTGTTATGGTATCATTTCTCCGACTTTGTGAGCGCTCATGCTATGAAGACACGAGTATGTCAGAATGCGGAAAAGATAATATGTTATATGACCTTCAAGCTAGCAGTCCGACCGATGTTGGCCTATCTGCTTTGCGGTACAGAATTGCCCTTAAGGCTGGCTACTTTGCTTGTACGCGTGTTAGTGTGTGTGCCTTAAAAACAGTGTTGTCTATGAACTGAAGCAGCTTACTTTCGTGTCTGTTATTAAGTATCTTTTGCCCTTATCTGGTCGTATGTCTGTAGTTAAGGACGGCATGCCGTAGTAGACGGGAGCTTTCCAATTGTAATCCAGTCAATACCCATATAAGGTGGTATACACCTGCTTCCATTATTGCAACAGGGCCATGCGGCCACGTAGCCCACACTGTTGACGCCACCGGTTCCACATTCAGATGATAGCAGTTGTAAGAACCCCCTCCCCAGCTTGAACCCTCCAAAGCATAATTTTCTCTGCCCTGGTAAAACGAAGGGGGGTGAATTGGCCATGTGGATAGAGGAGCCGTGACCTCCCGAATAATATAATTATGGGCGCGGTGTGACTGCAGCGGTTGATGTGGGAAGAAAATGACTCGAAAAGCTTCTTTATAAGGGCAGTGTGCCTTCTTAACACGTCACAAAAGCTGAAGCAGTGGCGAAGGGAAGGAGTATCAGGCAGTGTTATGTGATGTCGCAGTATAAAATATTTCGCATTGTGGCTGCACTCGTGAAAAAAAAAAACAGGCACAATCCGCAAGAACATAAGATTTTTATTTAATTCACTGTTTGAAATAATGACGAGAGTCTTTGCGCGTAGTTTTGAATGAAAGGCAGAATTAAGCGATGCGTCCACGTCACGGCCTAAAAAGAATACACGCCGGGCCGTAGCTGCATACTTTGTGGATGTAGAGGCAAGGTACGATTATCGTAATCATGATGGTGAAAGATGAATTATTGTTGAGGACCTTGTAAAGGTGGGACGGTTCACAGCACTCGCTCGTAAAGCAGTTCACATGGTGTTGCGTCATAAGCAATATTACGCTCTCCCTTTTAAAGAAGTTACAATCAATGAAACAAGTTACAATCAAGTTACAATCAATGAAGTTTTTAGGTCACTAATAAAATTTTCAGCACCTCTCGAGATTGCCACTTGTGTGACGTAAATAAACGGCCTCTGTGATGTTCCACGAAAAAAGGCGAGTATTCTCGACGTCACAGAACATTCACGAGGCAAACACGAAACCGCGACTGGCACCCAACTAGGACTTTCTTGCAGGATCTTCTCGCTCTTTTTAGGCTGCTCTCGAACTGGTTCTGGCTGCTTATGCCTGGATAGTTGTTGGTCTTTTGTGTAGGAGCCATGATGAAAACACCAACATACATAGTTTCATTATTTATTGTGGAGGTCCCCCGAGTAAATACAACTGCCTCTTCAGCGTGCTGAAGCTTGAGCCCACGTGTTCTGAGGCAACCACCGGTGTGGGGCGCAACTTTCCTACGCTTTGAAGTGGGCGTTCTGAACTAACTCTAAAACTGGTGGTGACTAATAACGACAGCATTGATTATACTTTGCATTAGATTATTTAGGATTGAACTTCGACCTTAACGTCCACAAAGCTACAAATTGCAGATTTGAAATCACTAATGAAAATTTTGATGCTAGAAGTTCAATAATCATGAAGTTCACTTGAATAGCGACCCAAAAAAAGCTTACCCAAAAATACAGTTTACACCATACTAGCATATGAAGTGCACTCAATGAACACCGAACCGACTTTAGCCCTGTTATTTACGTCGACAATAGAGATGTCGTGAAATCCTTTTTTTCCACACGCTGTGTTCATCAAGGCCATTTTTTGGTGAGGCACTTAAGGACTGTGCCTTAACACTGATAACTTCTTTGCTCTTCATGTCGAACCCACGATTCTGTCACCCGGTGTTTCCAGGCTTGGGGTCAGTCATTAGCAGGTCGGTCCAGGGAGTATTCAACAGGGAAACTTGTGTTTTAAAACATCGGAGGGACATGTAACTCCCTGAAAGAATCATATTGCTCACATGTTGTATTACAATACCATTAATGTACTTGTCAACCTACATATAACACACGATGGTATCGTTCCATAACCAGCTCAATTTGACTGAATAAGTCAAATACGTGGTCTCCAGCTTCCACAATTTCTCTTTTGAATTATTTTTCTGTGTGGATTTCATACATACATGCGAATGTATACATATAGCAGACATCACGGTGGTGGCGAAAACGTGAATGATCCCTTTATATAGGCATCGGTACAACACGAAAGTGAAACGTTTGTTTGCAGAGGTAGTTGAGCGTTTATGTACATTGTTTCAACAACAGCCACAAACTGTAACGTCAGGTTAGGAATGGCAAGCAGCTCGAAGCTTCCAGCACACACCTGAAGCAGAAAGCACGCACTGAATTAGCATACAAAGTGTGAGAGCAGACTTACAACTCTCACAGCTCGACAAATAAGGCGCGCTGTTCAAACAGAAAGAAGCACAAAACGAGCGCACAAGATACCAGGACACGTGCAAAGAACTGTCTTAACTCTTTCTGCGCCGCGTGTCACTAGCGCATTCCTTTCGTAAACATGGACGTAGCAGCGTGCCGAAGTGACCTTCGTCATCTCCCGAATTAAGGGTTTGATAAGCGCGCACTCTGGAGAAACCACGCTCTGTAAGGTACGCTCCGTCAGTTCCGTGACGAAAGTACTCCAGCGCAGCCATGGTGAACTCCGGCATAAAGCAAGCTTGTGTAAAATTGAGCATAGGGTGTTTATATATCTGCTACAGCAATAAAACAATATGCCCTTAAGGCACATAATGGTTTGTTGTAGAAATAATCACACAAAGCAGTATTTATTATTCCCATCGTTTTTTTTTTGCGCAACTATAAATGCGGCATGTCACACACTGATCACTGATTATTAAGCTTGTTCAGCAGTATTCTAACGAAGTTATTGTCTTCTACATCCAGATTTGCATCAATGGCTTATGCTTGGAAGAGAAAATGTCGTATGGATATGAAGCCGTACCATAGCATGTGTGGAGCTTTCGAGGGCCGACCAAAAACGCTAAATAAACATAGTTGTTTAGGTTCCTCTTTGAGGAATTGAGATGTCTTTCTTTAGTTGTCGAAAAAATATTATACTGCATAAACCCAATACATTTCATTGATATCATACTGCGAATTTAGTAAGCCCTCCACCACGGCGTCTGTCGCAATCATAGCATGCTTTTGGGACATAAAATCCTCGATATTATGTTTTTCTTTCGCAAAGTACTGTCTCGGCCTCAGCCCTTCGCTCGAGTACTTTCTGCGCGTAAACTGAAAGATATAGCACTACCTCAGGCCTCGCTACACTTCACATTCAGTAGTTATACTAATAAACCAGTATAAATACCGACGCGAGCCTGGCACTGGAACCGGCGCTGTCGCAGCCGCTACGTAAAAAAAAAAAGAAGAAAACAAAGTGGCAGAAAATTGATGGAACAAGGACAGCACACTCGGTCCTCGTTTTGGCTAACAGCGCGTCGGAGAGAGCGACATGATAGGCCAACTGACACGACGGAACGCACATGCGCACCGCAGTAGGCGTCTCGTCGATAGATGGCGCTTCGATGCCTTCGGCCACGGGATGCCGTGGTATGCACACCTATGCTTATGCCTTTACATTCAACGGGGGTGCGAGAGGAAACACGAGATAGGCGTGATTTCAGCCGTGTTCATTGCGAGTGCGCGTATCAAAGAGACAGTTCACCGCCCAAAGAACATTCAACACCTTCGTCTCTACGAAAAGAACCCGTGATCCCTACAAGAATGCAAGGGAATGTTACAGGTACTGCTTGAACTCTTATTCACAGCGTCATAAGATTATGCTGCTTAGTTGTAGAATTTGTAACTGCCTCTGTAATGAACCAAATACGCATGGCACCGTATAGGATGTGGTTGCCTTGAGGTTTCCGTGTACGCCTCCGTCCAGCGATTGCAAGAAAGTGTGGATAGCAAAGCGATAATGGTTGGGGTTTCCCGTGCTGAAACCCCCGCTTTATTATGAGAGGTGCCGTTATCAACCGCCCTGAAAATTTCAACCACCTCGGGTGTTTTAGCGTGTACCTCAGTCTAAGTAAACAGGCCTGAAGTACTGTCGCCCCTATCCGATACGCAGCCGCGGATTCGATCATACGAACTGCGCGTCCACACTCGAGTGTCATAAGTACTATAAAGCAGTGGTAGGTGATGGTAAAAATCTCTAAACCAATGAATATACAGATTTGTACCGCATTATTTTGTTCCTATATTCAGACGAGATTCGTTAAGCAATTGTCGTTAGAATGGACAGTCGTTGGTGGGTGAGCTTAGTGCGTGCTTCTCGACGTATTCTTTTAGGCCAGCCTTCACCGTACTTTGCCGAAACAACAAAATAATTTATAACGCCTAGTGTTCTTTTTGAGGCTATGTTTCATCGATTTTGTACCTCATCTCCTCTGTTTCGGTTATATTTGCGGTGATGAATGCGTTGATTGTTGTGCGTGGTTTAAAAATATTTGTTCTCTTGTCTCGGTCTGCTCGGCCATTTTTTTTTTCTTTACCGTAATACGCTATACAAAATCAATTGCGACGACCCCACTCGCTCAATCAACACTTGAGTACATAAATATTCTCTGTCTTTTCCCCCCTTGAAGACGCTGCCAGATATATATTATACCATGACCTTGATTAAACTTCAGTTGAAAGTGAGTGCTTGTCAAAGTGGAGCTCTGCAGCCACCGTCTTCAGAGCACGCCCTACGGTATTCATGAATTTGTTCCCTTGCCCTCACACTTCACCTCAACGAAAAGCGCAATTGCTGAACTGTTAGCGGCGCTTGAAGACAGACTTTTTGCCGTCAGAACGTGCTATCAACATGACCACCATGAGGAATCTATTAGTTTGTCGTGTCCCAAATATTTCGCCTCCACTGTAACAAGTGAGGAGGAGGAGGAGGAGAAGGAAGGGAAGAAATGAAAGGCAGGGAGGTCAACCAGACGCACGTCCGGTTTGCTACCCTGCACTGGGGGAAGGGGTGAGGGGATTAAAGGAGAAGAGAGAGAGAAGTGAAGGGCAACGTGTATGTTGGTGGGACCTTGTCCATTGCACGCTTATAAGCGGTCGCGTAGTCCGGTCGTCTTCAGAAAACTTAGCAGTGCCCGCGTCGCTTTGCTGGCCAGCGACGCGTAGGGCCATGAGCCAAGTATCTTCTCTTCGGAAAAAGGTCTACTGTCTAGTGTCTCCAACGTTTCGCGTAGCAGATTGCGTTCGCTCGCAAAACGTTCACATGAACACAGTAGATGTTCTATTGTCTCGTCAGTGTCGCACGATTCACATCGGGAGCTATCCACCATTCCTATGCGAAAGGAGTACGCCTTTGTAAAAGCTACTCCTAACCACAGGCGGCACAGTAAAGTTGCATCCTGGCGAGAGAGGTCCGATGGAACTTGAAGCTTTCTCGATGGGTCCAATTTGTATAGGCGGTGGTTCCTGACACTTAAGTTGACAGATTCACGGGGGGCATATTTTCTAGAACAGCTTTTGTGGGTTTTAGCAGCACTGGTTCTACGAGAATCGTTCTCGTGAAACGAAGGCACTGAGTCCGAGTTTGACAAAGTAAATCGTGTCTGTAACCCCTTACTTGCACGGAGTCTCTCTTCGGGTGTAGAAAGTAGAATAAAATTAAGAGAGGAATCCAGCCTGATTGCTTCGACGTTCATGTTCACAGGAATAAACAATTTGTTGATGGCGCCCCAGTCAAATTTCTTATTCTGGGTTTGTCGGATATTTCTTTTTTTAAGCTATGCGGCTGTTGCTATTCTCGCAGTTCACCGCTATTATTTGATATCCGCCCTGATAGGGCAGCGTTTATGGCGCCCCAGTGCTGATGCCAAGGTAGCGGGCGTAAATCTCAGCCACGGTGGCCGCATGTATATGACGATCATAAAGCTAGAGAGCCGTGCATCTATATTTGGATGCACATCACAGATCATGAGAAGGCAGAAATTTCCGAAGCACATCTCCGCGGTGTTTCTGATAATTATGTCATGGTTTTATGATGTGACACCCCCTAAATTAATCCCGCAATTATCTGATCAAACATGAAAACTGCGCCTGCTAAAGCGAAATATTGGCAAAAGGGACTGTTATTCAGCCCTCCACCTAATTTATTATCGACTACTTCAGAACACGACAGACATCGGCGAAGAGAATAAACAAGAGTATAAACGCAGACGTAGAAAACATAGAAGCGTTGTTGTGGCGCCTCAAATATGCGCAATAATTGCTCTTCAATTGACAATCGCACAACTATGAACGCTAAAGCTTGAGCAATATTGGTGGGCGCTGCGGATGGGGTTGGCTGTTTGATGCCGTTTGAGGTATCGTTAGGGCGGACAAACACACATTTACAGACACAGACAGACCAAAATTTTTCGGTCGAAGGTCCCCAAGA